ACTCCTTTGCCCTGCTAAAGTCACTGTCCACCTGATTCCCATAGTCTGAAATGGTAAGCCCTTTCCTCTGCTGTTACTTCCTCTCCTAAAATGCTCTGTAGGTTTACATCTTTTCACCCCTTCACTGTCGTTCCAGTAGGATTTCTGCTGAGATTACTTTACTACAGCCATTTTCCCACATGGTTATATTATAGCATTACTGTTTATATTATGATTTACCTGCACACAAACTTCCTCAGTATATTGGTCTCCTTAAAGAGACCATGCTTTATCTACTTCTCTATTTCTAACCTATCAAATACAGTGTCCAGACCAGAACATTCATGAGATAAATGTCTATAAAATAATGAATTTTTTAAAAAATATATGTTATTGATTTTTTACAGAGAGGAAGGGAGAGAGATAGAAAGTTAGAAACATCGATGAGAGAGAAACATCGATCGGCTGACTCCTGCACATCCCCACTGGGGAAGTGCCCGCAACCCAGGTACATGCCCTTGACCGGAATCAAACCCGGGACCTTTCAGTCCGCAGGCCGATGCTCTATCCACTGAGCCAAACCGGTTTCGGCAAATAATGAATTTTTTAATGAATTTTCATTGTCTGATGAATTTTATTATATGTTTCTCTAACAACAAGAGTACTTTCCCCAGGCTTGAACAAATGCAAGGTGCTGGGCAATGGGAAAAGCTTTTCTGTTATGGTGGTGGGCATGTGGCCTTCCATCATTGATTCTAGATTGGTACACTAGAATGAACAAGGTATAGTTTTCAAAATCATGATAATCACTTGGCCAGAAGAGTCCAAACCAGAATCAAAGAAGGAATAGAAAAGGTCAAAGCTGGAGAAGGGGTGCTAAGAATCAGTCTGAAGAATGAAATATAAAGGGGAAAATGCCATGAATTAATGGGGTCCCTGAAAAATGAAAAGACGTCAGACCCCACTTTATGTGTGTTCATGTGTGGCTTAGGGGCTACAGATATGAAAGTCTAAAAATACCAGGCCTTCACCTCAGCCAGGTGGCGCAATCAGTTGGAGTGTCATCCTTACACCAAAAAGGTTGCGTGTTCAATTCCCAGTCAGGGCACATACCTAGATTGTGGGTTCTGTCCCTGGTCAGGTTGCATATGGGAGGCAACTGATCCATATTTCTCTCTCTCTCTCCCTCTCTCTCTCTCTCTCTCTCTCAATAAATAAATAAAAATATATCCTCTGGTGAGGATTCAAAAATAAAATAATAAATAAAATAAGTAAAAGCACCAGGCTTTTAAACACCTATTTCCCCATTATATTTATGCCTAGATTCCCTGGTCTTGAAGTAAGGCAAGGATGTCTCTTCATCGCCCAGCTGAGACCCTATCCCTAGGAAAGTCTATTTGAGCCTCAGCTTCCTATAAGCTGCTCTGATGTCCAGCCTTTCTCCTGGTTAGGGCTCGGAGCAGGCCTGTCATATGGTCTATTTGTGGAGCATATCCTAAAAGTCCTGGCTGCATGCCAATGCCCCATGGGCTGCATATCGTCACAAGAGAATGTAAGGAACAGTGGAAGACAGGAAGAATGTGAATGGAAATAATGATAATAGAAAGGGGGTAACCTTATAACTTCAGTGACTCAGGAAGAACTAGAATGCAGCTTTCAAGTTTCTTAAAGTGTAAGGTGATAGAGAGTTCATGGGGGTTGAATGTGTCTCAGTGGCCTATGGAATGGTTTCTGCTGGCATGCAATAGTGTATCCACTGAAGTCTAGTAGCAGCTCCTGGTGTTGCTTCCTATATATTTTTGTGAATTGAGATTCCTGGCCAAAGCCAGAGTGACGACGGCTATAGAGAAAGTACAGAACTAGGAGTGAAGGATATAACAACTATGACTGAAATATCTGTTGGGTATTAGTACAGTATTTGGGCACCATGTAGCCTGTCATTTTACACATACAGAGCACAGCATCTGAAGTACTTCCCAGTGATTCCTTTAAGTACCCCATCTGGCTTATTAGTAGGTACAAATGAACTTAGAGGGCCTTAAAAAGTGCAAGATTTAAACATGGTCCTCTCTCAGACACATGCATGGAAAGGTCCGAAAGAAACATCTCTTAAGAAAAAGTGGGGTTAACTAGAGAAACTAAAGACAAACTAGCACAAAGAACCAGAACCTAGTCATCTGTTTTAACATTAACACTTACTACAATGAGAACTCTGTTCTCCTCTAGGATATGCAGGGACTGACAAAGAAGCATAACCCTGGGCCAACTAGCTCAGGTCCTAGATAGTTCTGTACAATTCTGAATATTGGACTTGATGCAATAAAATCACCAGAAATTTCAGGTCATCGTGGTTCAATTTTAAAGGAGCCTGAAGCATAAAGAAGGCTGAGAATGTTCACAAAGACTTTGTCAATGGGACATCTAAGTGGCTAGCAAACTAGTTAAACTAGTGAATTGATCATAAAAGGATCATTTCTGATTTCAGCAAGCATCTATTTGTTTGTCCTTTCAATAGGGTTCCAGGGAAATTTTAGGGCCACCAGGTGCCCCAAGCAAAGAATCCCCTGTGGTCTGATGGTGTGGGTCATCCTGATCTTACTTAGCATGGCCAGGAAGAAGAGTACCTACACATCAGAAAGAGGGGTTTCCTCTTAATCCAAGGCTGCTCTAGACTAGTTAGAGGCTGGGCCAACCTGTCTTATTCTGAGTGAAAAGCACTCTGTTCTTAAAGATCACTTCATTTTTTTACTAAGGGCTCACGGACTATTTGTTTGGTAATAAAATCTGTTGTAAAACAAAATTGCTAATCTGTTCTTTCTCAAAGCACGGTATATTGTAGAAACTACAGATTAGTAAGTATTTTTGCTGTTCTCTGCTTTCTTCTACCACTGAGAGCAGCTCTGAGATAATGGTCAACTCAACAAACAGTTATTAAACATCTACAATATACAAACATCTTCCTTAAGCAAATAAGAAAAAGACTACCTTAAACCTCAAAGAGTTTGTACTTCAATAGGGGAATATAAAAATAAGTATGAGACAATGAATAAGCATTCCAATAAAGAAATAAAGACTTATGGGAGCCCAGAAAAGAGAATTCCACCTGGAATTCTATAAAAACTAAATGCTTTAGTGATTTAGGGACTGTGTCTGTAGCTAAAGATTTTAATTAACTTAAAGTAATTTGGTTTTCTCTCTCTCTGTTTTTGTCTGTCTTTCTCTCTTATGTTGGACTTTAAATTCACCTATATATTAACTTTTCAATTTTATAAAGCATTCTCTTTTCTTGATCAAAGAAACCTAACTAAATAGCAATAAAGAACAGACCTATAAACTACCATAACATAAGTAGCACTTTTTGAATATTAAAAAAATATTTAGAATCTAAAATGTTTTGCTAATAAAATATAAGAATCGCTACTTTCACTGTAATTTCTTTTAAGGAAATCCACCCATTGTGGCCACTTGCCTACTGATTTGCAAATGTCTCAAGTAAATAGGTGCCTCAACTATTCTTACTTTGCCAAGGAAGCTGAAATGAAGTAGCGGAGTATTAAGAACATAAAATAGAAAAGAAGTCAAGTCAAAATTATATTTTAAAAGACTCCAGTAAACTTTAGAATTTCATCAGACCCTTGAGAAGTCAGAAGATAATTAACTGATAGAACTTGTTACTGCACAAGTAAATTTAAAAGAAAAAAAAGGATCAAACAGAATTTTTTAAAAATCTGATTACACAGCCCTGACCAGGTAGCTCAGTCGGTTAGAGCACTGTTCCAATATGCCAAGGTTGCAGGTTCAATCCTGTCAGGCCATATACAAGAAACAACCAATGAATACATAAATAAGTGGAACAACGAATTGATATCTCTCTCTCTCGCTCGCTCTCTCTCTCTCTCTCTCTCTCTCCCCCCCCCTCCTTTTCTCCCTCCCCTCCTCCCTCCCTCCCCCCTCTCTCGCTCTCCAGCCCTCTCTCTCTCCCTCTCTGTCTCTAAATCAATTTTTGGAATTCTGGTTACACAAAAGAAAATAAATAATCATGGACAGTTATCAGAGAAATGTAAATTAAGGAAGCTCAAGGCATCATTTCATAACAAATAAATTAGGAACATTTCTTCTTGCTGTGATAATACCAAGTGTGGTGAGGTTACAATATAACTGGTAACCTGCTGATAACATGCTTAACCTCTTCTAGAAAATAATATGGCGATAGATAGCAAAAGTAATACAAAATTCAGACTCACTAGCTCAAGAAACTCAATCCTGAGAATTTATCCTAAAGAATTCAACCAAAGAATAAAATCTATTAATATGAATAAATTGTCAATAGTAATGTCAATAACAGAAAGAAAAAACTGAAAACAACATACGTGCTATGGACCAGTAATATCACAATTAGAAAGCAAGCTGCCTCCAGAGTGGAAACAGGATGAGAGGACTCTGGAGTTGGAGCTGCAGGGCCAGGGAGCAGCCCCATGCACAGCATGAGCTGAAACCTGCAGTGAGCAATGCTGACAACAAGGAGGGCAGAGCAGGAGGTAGAACAGGAGCTGAGCTGAACAGAAGGAGTGAAGAAAGATAAGAGAGGTTGAAAAATGAAAGCAAGCTACTCCTGGCTGAGGTTAGACAATGGCAATATGAGTCCGCTGGGAAAGAGCTGGCATCTAATTAAAACTGCATTAGTATTATGTACCAAGAGCTTTCTTCTTTGTGGTTCTGTGTTCTTTGGACTTCCCTAATTCTCCACAGTAAATATATTTATAATCAGAAAAGAAAGGTTATTTGTAAAGAGAAAATAAAACACGAGCCTAATCCTTGCTGCTCTAAGTATATAGCCTTTTTACAAATTCAGACTCGTAGGCCCCACCACAGACGCAGTGAATCAGAATCCCAGGTTAACAAATCCGCAGGTTAACAATTAACCAATGTGCATGTTTCCGCGCATTTTTACAGTCTGGGAAGCACTACTCTAGTTCCTCTGGTCCCCACATTCCCAAAGTGTGTGCTGCATGAGAACCTACCGGGTTCTGCTGTAGCCTTTCTGGGTGAAGACATGTCCCTGTGTGCAGATAAGATGGATAAAGGCTTCTTATGTCCTGAGATTCAGCAGAAGGTCTAACTAGTATCCTGAGGCCAGCACACAGTTGTTCACCTGGTCAAACACACAATGCAAAGGATTTTCTTAGACCACTGATGTTTTCACAGCCTCGGCATATTGCTCATTTATTCGGTCACTGTCGCTCAGTGGCTTAGTTCTCTTAATGCCCTACTATGCTGACATAGATGCTTAGGAATACAGTATGAATGGATACAAGAATTAACCACAGAGTGTGTCTGTCTTCAAGGAGTTCATGTTCAAGCTAAAAAAAGTCCTCACATAGGACAAGCTTTGTTTCTCTGCTAATCCTTCCCATATAGACCTGTGAAATCATGTTGCATTCCCTGCTTTGGTTAAAGCCTAGAGTATATTTTGTCCAGTGACCTTTCAATTAGCTACCTCCAAATGAAATCGGATTGCTATAATCTGAATTTAAAAATTAATGTTTTAAAACATATGTATTTTAAAACTTTCAGATATAGGATGTTAAGAAAGGTTATTTAAAACATGGAAGTAAGGCAAAGAGATAGGTGGCATGTCCTCTCTGCTACATGAGGACATTGTGTAAACAGGCCCTCTTAAGGATTATTTAATTACTACAGGCCCGGTGCACAGATTTGTGGGATCCCTTGGCCTGGCCTGTGGGGATCAGGCCGAAACTGGCTCTCTGACATCCCGCTAGGGGTCCCGGATTGCAAGAGGGTGCTGGTCAGGCCAAGGGACCCCACCAGTGGACAAATCCACGCACCGGGCCTCTAGTATGCATATAAGATCTTTGGTTAATCTCTTCCCACCCTTCTTACTTCCCCCTTCCCTCTGAGATTCATCAGTCTGTTCCATGTTTCCATGCCTGTGCATTGAGCATCTGCCCCCTGGTGGTCAGTGTGTGTGATAGCTATCAGTCAAACGGTCAGACACTTAGCATATTAGGCTTTTATATATGTAGATGTAGATAACACATAGTTACTTATGTATTATTGTACTTTGTTCAAATCACTGCTTACTGTTAAGAGTCCTAGACTTAGTCAATTACATGTTACCTTAGATTTTTGTTCAGTAGTAATACAAATAATTTCTATGTGACAGAAAACACTAAAGATTATAATTTATTGTCCTGTCAGATATTAACCACCCTAATGGTAAATTTCCTTTCTACATAAATATAGGTTTTCTTTATAATTAGAAAAAGCATCTACACTAATAAAAGAGAAAAATGGTAATTGGCATACGACGCTCGCTACCCTTTTCATTGGCTAATCAGGGCTATATGCAAATTAACTGCCAACTAAGATTGGCAGTTAACTGCCAACAAGATGGCGGTTAATTTGCATATGTAGGCACAATGCAGGGAGGCGAAAGGGAAAGCAGGAAGAAGCCCCCTGCCACTGACAGTGATCGGAAACCCAGGGGGGAGCTAAGAGCCCCTGGGCCGCCTTTGCCCTGCCCCCCAGCCATGATCGGAGAATCAGGTGCCTTTTCCGCCCTGGCCAGTGATAGCGGGAAGCAGGGGTGGAGCCAGCGATGGGAGCTGGGCACGGTCAAAGCTGGCAGTCCCGGGAGCTAGGGGTCCCTTGCCTGGGCCTAAAGTGAAGCCCATGATCACGGGGCCGCTGCAGCTGCGGGTCCCCGCTGCCCAGGCCGGACGCCTCAGCCAGAGGCGTTAGGCCTGGGCAGGGGCGGAGCCTGCAACCGCGGGGAGCTGGGGGTCCCCTGCCCAGGCCTGACACCTCTGCCAGAGGCCTCAGGCCTGGTCAAAGGGCCGATCCGGTGATTGGTGATCGGAGGGTGATGAGGGTCAACTCCTCTGGCCGAGGCATCAGGCCTGGGCGGGGGGTGGAGCCGGGGATTGGGGGGATATGATGGTCCCCTTGCCCAGGCCTGAAGCCTGGGTCAGAGGCGTCAGGCTTGGGCGGGGGGTGGAGCAAGCGATCAGAGGGAGATGGGGGTCCCCTGCCCAGGCATGATTCCTGGGCCAGAGGCCTCAGGCCTGGGCGGGGACCAGAGCCAGTGATCGGGGGGAGATGGGGGTGCCCTGTCCAAGCCTGACACCTCTGGCGGAGGCGTCAGGCCTGGGCAAGGGGCCGATCTTGCGATTGGAGGGTGATGGGGGTCAACGCCTGAGGACTCCCAGTATGTGAGAGGGGGCAGGCTGGGCTGAGGGACACTCCCCCTCACACACACCCAGTGCACGAGTTTCGTGCACTGGGCCCCTAGTTACATTATAAAAAACTAAGCTAATAACAATTTCAAAAAAGTATAAAATATGCTAAATAATAATAGTCCAAGAAGCTCATACTTGGAATTTGATCACAGGAAACACAGATTTCACAGGAGGGAACTCTTATCCCTGAGGTGGCTTCAGGTCGGGCAGCAAAATTACTCAGTCCTGCGTATTTGGAATTTCTCTTATTCCCTTCTCTCCAGGCCAGTCTAGGTCTCAGAGAGTGGGACATGATAGAATTTTTAAAAGATTTGAGGGTAGCCTCAGGTTAAAATTCTATATTTTGGCATCTTGTATCCACATGAAAAAAAGGGTCTTTACTGGCATCTACTTTAGTTTTAAGAGAGTTTGAGATAAATCAAACACTTTGTCCCATGTTGGAGCTTTATTCTTCCATCCTCAATGTTGTATCACAAAAGAGGAACACTTTTTCAGGTTCCACTATCGACTGCCATTTTCCAGAATTCTTGACATGATTATGCAGATTGCTTAGTGATACATATTTTCATGGAATTACAGAGATACCTCTTTTTATTGCACTTAGCTTTATTGTGCTTCACAGTTAGTTGCATTTTTTTTTTTTTTACATACTGGAGGTTTGTGGCAACCCTACGTCACCATTTTTCTAATAGGTTTAGGTAATGCATTTTTTAGCAATAAAGTATTTTTAATTATGGCATATATATATATATATATATATATATATATATACACACACATATATATATTTACATTTAGAAATAATGCTCTTGTAAACAATAAACTACAGTATAGTATACGTACTGGGAAACCAAAAAATGCTTGTAACTGGCTTTAGTAAGATACTTGCTTTATTGTGGTGGTCTGAAACTGAAATCACAATAGCTCTGAGGTCTGCCTCATTAGTTAAATCATCAAACATTTCTTTAGTGTCTAAAATGTGCTAGTCACTAAAGATCCAAAAATGAAAAAGTTACAGTATTTGCCCCCAAGATGCTTATGGTCCAATGAGATGAGTCCAGAAATCATCATAAAAAACAAAGTATAGGGGAAGCACTGGTGGAGAGTTACTCTGAAAAGCATGGGGATAGAGGGTAATACAGTTTTAAAAAAAAAAAAATAATGTTGCTGTTTTTTTCGAATTATAAAGAAAACCAAGAAAGTAAAGTTATCATTAGAAAATTTCATTTTTGATCATACTTTGTTAATCATTCTCTGTAGTGTGTGTGTGTGTGTGTGTGTGTGTGTGTGTGTGTGTGTGTGTGTGTAAGGGTTGGGGGCTGTGAAGAGGGGAGAAATAAAGTGCTAAAGTGGTACTTCAATAGCCACTGGCAGTTCCAGCCAGCACAATCAGGCAAGAAAAAGAAATAAAGGTATTCAGATTGGGAAAGATAAAGTAAAGCTGTCTTTATTCACAAGATTTTGGTTCTTGTATATAATTATACCTCAGTAAAATTGATTTTTAAAAAGCCATAAAAAGGTCATCTATTTCAATAAGACTAAAGTAAAATATCTATATATATAAAAGCCAAGCAACCAGAACGATGGAACGACCGAAACAACTGGAAAGCTGGGTCGCTATGAGGCGCACTGCAGCAGCCAACCAGCCCGATCAGGGCCCCGACTGCGCCCCTCCCACAACCTCCAGGGGCCCCTCCCCCAGGCCAGGCCAGCCCCCAATTGCCCACTCTGATCAGGGGCAGGATCAGTTGGTCAACCACCCATGACCCCTCCCCCGCCAGCCCAGCCCAATAGCCCCCATCAGGGTGGGCCAGCCAGACCCCACCTGTGCACAAATTCATGCACTGGGCCTGCCAGGGTCCAACCCCAGCGGGTCCAGGGGTCCCCAAAGGTGTGGACGGAGTTAGTGAAGAAGGAATGACACGGAGAGGGCGTTCAGATGATCATCATAGCAAGGTTCTCTAGCCACGTTCTGGTCAGGATCTCCAGTGAGGTTCTGGTTAGGATCTCCAGCCAGGTTCTGTGTCCATGTTCTCTTGCTAGGTTCCCCAGCCAGGTTCTGTAGCCATGTTCCCTCGCTAGGTTCTCCAGCCAGGTTCTGTCCAGGTTCTCCAGCCAGGTTCAGTCACCAGGTTCTAGTCAGGTTCTCTTGCCAATTTCTGTAGTCAGGTTCAGTCCAGGATCTTTTGCCATGTTCTCTCCAGCGAAGTTCTTCTGTCTGTAGGTTCTGTCTTCTTAGTTCTGTGTTCTAAGCTCTGTATTCTAAGTTCTGTGTCTTGCTGTCTTATTACATCTGTATTTTTACCAGTTGATTCAATCCTATCAATCTCTATTACAAAGGTTAGGGCGTTTCTTATCTCCATTCCAGGGAGTAAAGATTATGTAGCTTAAGCATAACTGTTCATAGTTAAAGTGATTAATTACCCACCTGGCACTAGTTAAGAGGTTTTATTCCCTCCCTAACTTCAGGGGAAAATCCCTACCTGGGGAAACAACCTTTCTCAGAGACCTTGGTTAAAACACATAGAGCCAAGAAGGTGAGCAAACATATTAAGAGCAGTATGCCATATATGCCAGGTCCCTTGAAACAGCAAGGATGGACCGGCTCCTGGCATGGGCCTCTAGTATAGAAATAATTATGTAAAAGAAATTTTTAAAATCAAATTTCTGATGAATGTTTAAACATTAAAAATGGTTGTTACCCTCTGTGGAAACCATGCCAATGAGAGCACAGAGGTCTTGTTATTCATACACCAGGATGTTCAAGGCCGTTTTGGCATGAGCCTAATCAAGGTGCCCAAGGCCAAGATACCATAAGCGGGCGCAAGGACACACAGTACACTTCTGTAACCCAAATGACTGATGTCACTGTTGGCAACTAGCCTTCTTTGCC